GGCCCACTCCAGCACACTTGAGACCATTCAATCTCTTGTTCTGTGTTTTAGCCAATCAGAAAGCAGCTCCATTCATGAGTCTGAATAGAGACCCGCCATAGGAGCAGCTCCTCTGAGACAGAAAAAATGGAGAGCACTCAGACACATATATAGGTTTTTATACAATGTAAGGATGTGAGGTTTGAAATGTATAGGATATATGTAACTACCTCTCTTTAATAAGACTTTTCTAAGTCTAACTGTAAACCTAACCCCAACCTTAACCTCAGTAACCATAAAGAAAAGATTTTATATGCAGATTTGGTATTTTGCAAAGTCAGGACCATTTTGCTGGTACAGACATTATGCATTTACTCCTTTTTTTACTCTGTTTTTCCTACAAAGTCAGGATATTTTTATCCTGGAAATGTACAAGGTGCCAGTCCAACTCACTCGCACGTAGTCCGCTCCTCAGACACAATCTGCTTCAGTGTAACTACGTGTCATCCGGCCTTGTGCCTCTCTCAGCGGGTGAGTCAGGAGGAATGAACCTCAGAACAGCTCTCCTCGCCCTCCATTCATACACGCAGCCAGTGCGTGCTGCAATAATGCCCTTCAGACCTGCTCAGTCACCCCGGCTCTCTCACTGAGTGAGGCCTCCTGCTCACGCTGCTCATTACTGCCTCCACTCCTCTCACACTATCCATCATCTCACCAGCTCCTCTGTCAGGAACGTCAGAGACGCATTCAGCGCTTTCTGCTGAATGAATATTTCCCGAATAAAGAGCTGCTGTGAGGTTTAATGAGGCGTGATGTGAGCCGAAGATTAGAGCCGTGCTCATTATGGCCTAATTCAATCTGGCTTGTTTGTTTGTTTTTTGTGGATAATTGTCTGCAACGTTTGCTGCGCTGGTTTTGTACCCATGAAATGCAACTCGAAAAATCTGATCACTGAAAGGTGATCAGGCAAATAAGGTGCTTTAGCTTAGCCTGTTAGTTCAGCTGTGACTGTGACGTGATCTGCTGTCTGTACATCTGGATGTGCAAAGTTTGGACGGCCATGTTTTGTTAAGTGAAAATAACACATCTACTATAAAGAACACACCTCTGCACATTTTAGTATGTGTATATACGTTTCATATGTACATATATTTAAAATGTGTGTTATACTTACCGTATATGTTTTTCGTATAACTTAATATTACTCATATCTATATTTTAATCTCATGTTATGGGGTTTGTTTTGACAAACAATTATGGACGCTAGGGCACCATCATCATCACCAGTGTGTCAACAGCAGAGCATCAGCCATCAGGCTCTGTTGTGCTTTGGGGAACAGTATAGACTGCCGTGTATGGCCTTCCATGTACCACTGAGAAACCTTAAACACCTAAGAGTCCATAGTCCCTATAAGGTATAGGGGCTCTTGCGAGCCTTTAGACCCCAACAGTCTAGGGTTTGGGTAAATCAAAACGTGTCCATACATTCTGTCCATTGCTTTATAAAGTCATACGTGTATGTGTGAGTGGGGTATATAGATGCCTTGTAGGCTTGTGGCCATCAGAGAGGGAATTGTCTGCTTTTCTCCATATTGGTCAAATTAAAATTAATATTAATTGAAATGTTACCCCATGTCTGAGTTTGTTTCAGCAAGTACACTGGTGTTTTTGCCCATTTGGGCTGATCTAAAACCGGTTTCTCATGCACAGCTTCTGGATACAGCCTAAGAAGGCAATGTAGAGCCGAAGCTAAACCGCCCACCACTTCAATATAGCTGTACCAAACCTGAGCTGGAAAACTACAGAGCAGAAAGACAATAGTGAGTTGTAAAAAAAACACGGTTACAGGGTCCGGTTATTTGGAGCTCCGTTCATTGTCCTAGGTGATGGACAATGTGCTTTGTACAGGATTATGTTTCGGGTTTGTGCGCTTTTGTAAAGGGCGGTATTATTGCAGGCCAGGCGGGGAGAATAGAGACACTTTCAAAGGGAGCTCGCCCTCCTTTGTTGCTTCGTGCAACCATAGCTAACGGACGTCAAAAGCCTTTTTCAAATCAGTTCTCTTAATGGCTGCAATAATACCAAAGAGAAATTGGCAATAAACTGCAGGGCTGGGTTCCCTGCAGCATTGGCTGGCTGCTCTGATATGGGCTGGGTCTCCAGGGTCGTCGTGGCAAACCCTGATGGGAAGGGAAGCCTATTCTCTAGCCCAAGGCACTTCCTTAACTTGTTAGTGGCATTGTGCCCTGCTGGTAACTTTCACTGGCCTCCTTCATCAGATAATAAAGTTATTTAGACTGGTTTCTCCTTCCATGTGAACAGTCTTTGCTAATACCTGCCACTGTTTGTACCCATATCTGTTTTCTACTACACTTTTTTCTTGCACCTTTTTAAGTCAAAAAAGAAAGAACTCACTGAAAATCCTCTAATGAAATATGACACAGAGTGAGAAGTGTCCCAGAAAATTTGTTGCTAAATATGTTGCTTCAGAACAGAGGCAAATTTGTCCCCAAAAACTTGGAGGACTGTGCTGGTGTTCACATGATACCAGGAAATGTTTAACCCCCATTGTGCCGAGACAAAAGATTGTTTTAATCCCGCTGTGAGAGCGCAGTGGAGGGAGGGTGGGGGTTAGGCCTGGCAGTGTGTGTACGACATACTCGCTCCCTCACTCTCTCGGGCTGTCTGTCTCATGTGCACCACACACAGTGGATGGAGGCACAGTGATAACATTGGTACAACTGCTGGAGTATGTGGGGTTAATGTGACGTTTGAAGGCCAGGAGGAGAGTTCCATACCAGCGCTACAGTAAAAGGTAACAGCTCCACAACTTTTGAGTTTAGACGTAAATGGAAATTTCAAAGATTTTTCAAAATTTCTGCATAATTAAATGGTCAAGATGTAAACAAAGTCAATTAGAGTGGTTGGATTTGGGACTCACCAACCTGATAATGGTGGTGGAACTGTAAAAGCTCCCTCACAGAAAATAATGACATAAAATGGTTGTGACTGCCCAATGCCTGAGACAGTAGTTTTGATATAACCTTTGGACAGTATATATTTTTTTTAATTCATTTGTGGTGGAGAGGTACATGCAGGGTGTTATTAGCCTCTTAGTATCTCCTACAGAAACTTTTTTTAGGATTTATCCCTGTTTTACCTTGTAGCATGTGTAGCTTCTCTGGTGTTTTTGGATAGTAAATAAAATTTGCATTGTAGACATTGTGACCCCTGGTTCCTATCACCACCACTGTAAAGAAATCTGAGTCAGTAAGTTTCTCTACAGGGAACCATTTCAAATCAGACCACCATGAATGACATTGTTTACATCTCAGCCATTGAATCATAAAGGAATTAAAAAAAACATCAAAAGAATTTCTCTTAAGGCTCAACACTTGGTGCTGCTGACAGTGGCAGATGCACTAGTTCATGCTGAGCTTGCAGTAGTTTTGACTTTTCACTTCATTTTAGTCATTTCACATTAGCCTATCTTTCAGACCAGGTCATACAAATTGTATGAGAGTTTCTTAATATGAGAGAACTAATGAGCTGACGTGCTGCTTGCCGGATCTAATTTTACTCCTATTCTTCGATTAATAACTTTCCATTCTGAGAGCTGCCTGTGGAAAACTCGCGTGCGAGTCATTTATTAACCTAAAATTACTGTAAAGGATTTGGTCATGAATCTCATTATGCCTTCTTTTGTTAGTGTTTGGAAAGAATGATGGAAATGTGAAGCACAAACAGAAGCTCAAGAGGCTTGTTTAGAACAGAAGAAGTGGATGCTTGTGTGAATGCACAAGTTGTAGTCCTAATACACAAACTGCAAATCAATAGCTCAAGCTCATATCTGGCTCTCTTCACCTTGTTAAACATACACTTTGTTGAAGTGAATTGAATTGTCATTGACTGCTGGTGATGAAAGATCTTCATCTTCAGTGAGGAGAGAGAAAACAATATAGTGAGAGTGACCTCAGTTTTGCTTGTTTTTATGTTCTCGCTATCTGGCCTAGAAGGCCTTTGCTGTTGGGCATGCTTAGAGACCCGGGCTTTATTTTAGCAAACTCAGAGCAGCTATCAGTCAGCACCACCAGCTGCCAGCCTTCAGCAACTAGGGAGAGGACAGGGGGGACTGAAAAGTCACAGCAGACGATCTGCTGTTTTACACCACATTTACATTTTCCACCTGTTATTTAATGGCTTCCCTAACGGTTAGGACTGTGGGCTTAATGAGTTCTCAGGGGCTACTTCTTAATTTGTTAGTTTAGGGACATGTCGCATTTGCTGTGACTTGGTTTTCAACTGTTCAAAGGGAGCAGTTGAGACAAGCCTTTCAGAGCTGTATAGTGTGTTCCTATATGTCACTGATAGTCAATGATTGTTTTTCTCTCTAAAATTGAATTCAGTTCTGAGCTGGTAACTTGAGTGTGGCTTTAATCCTTTAACCCTGAGTTTAACCCTGAGTCACTTTTGTTTTACTATACTGTTTAAATTTCTTAACTATGCAATGAATTACATAGTTATGGATATGACACTTCTGTGTTACATTTAAATATGATTTATTCTTTGTGTCTACAGGTTTAAGTCAGCACTTCCAGCTTTTTTTCCGTATCAAATAATGACAAAAACAGGGTGAAAATGCAGAGGGCTTTTCTCCATGCACAATAGCTTTTCTTAAATTTCAAATGCTTATAGAATAGCTTATCTTCTATTTACAAACACAAATATGGTACCAATTAATTTATTCCTTCTATAGAATTCCTCTGCTTGTTTTAATGAGCTACAAGTGAGAAATAATTAATCCAAATGTTACAAGAGGGTTCCATGCCATTTAGGTCATGGGAAAAGATTAATGTACAGAGAGAGAGAGAGAGAAAGAGAGGGAGAGAGAGAAAGAGAGAGAGAGAGAGAGAGAGAGAGAGAGAGAGAGAGAGAGAGAGAGAGAGGAAGTAATCTTCCTCTCCGTTCCAAGGATGGTGCCTGTCCCTCCCTCTCATGTATTGGCCTTAGAGGCTGTTTCCTGTAGCTGCTACACTTTGCTGGATTTAGATGCGATTGTGCTTTTCAATCAGCTTCTGCGTTGCTCTGGGTGTCTTATGCTGAAGGGAGTTGCTGTCATTTTGAGCAGCTGCCCTGAGTCACTGAGCTGCAATCTTTCAGACATTTTCATAATGGACGGGCGGTAGTGGGTTGACCACAGGAGGAAATGAATCTTCTCCGCTGGTGTTCGTCCATTTCACACTGCCATCGGGCCTGCATGACTGCAGTGGATGCTTTGACTTATTTATTTGTTTTTAGCTGTGGTGCGTAGCTCCGCTCATTCTGTGGGTTGTTCCAAGATACACAGAGAGCAACAAATGGAACTGTAATTCAGGTTGATGTTTGTTTAAAATGTATTCACTTCTCATTTCAGGTACTGGATTCTGAGATCTGCTGTGGTGTGGGTGGTGTGAGTCAGAAGAGAAGACAGGCCTGGTGAGTGATTGCAGTGCTGTTCAGTGATATCTGTCTTTGTGTACCATGCGTTGCTGAGACGTTTGCTTGGTTGATGGTTGAAATGTCAGTCATTTGTGTGATGTTGAAACTTTGGAAAACATCTGGGATATTTGAAGAGTTTGAGGAATCTTATCTCATACTTGGCAAAGACAAAAAAGGAGATTATTATGTGGATTCTGAAAGAGCTCCACTGTCTGGCTGTTTATATATGCATGGATGGGAGAATGAGGCAAGATACACTGGCTATAGTGTGCTGTTGGCGTTATGTCAAAAGACTGGGGACACCTTGTGTTTCATTGAAATTTTCCTAGTACTGTTTGATTTTTGCTGTTAAGAAAAGTACCTGCAGTGGATTTGTGAGTATAAATCAGCTTTTAACGAATACTGAGTATATTTTGCAACATTCAGCTTGATGTTTACCAATGTCTCTTCCTCACTATGAAGGAAGGGGTGGGTGATATGGCGGAAATACTTGTAGATACTTGCACATATTTTGATGATACATATATAAAATGAGATATAATATCTCAACTTTCTGATATTTATTTATCTGGTGTTGAAAAACACCTCATGTTACAGATACACTCAAAAACTGTGTACAGAGTTTTTTGTTCAACATTTCATGCCATGCTTCACTAAATCCAAATAAACAGGACTACATATGCTCTCTTTCTTGGGAAACTCACAGTTAGTCAGTGTTCTTTGAGTACTGATATATCCACAATATGCTTAGACAATTTACAGTAAAATATTGTCTTATTGACCAGCCCTACTTTATTATGATTTTACAGTTTTCTTATCCAAACTATTGTTAAAAGCACATATTGAAAATCATACAGCTCAAAGGTTTAAACACCTGAAAGGTTTGAGTGCTGATTAGTACTGTATGTAAAATGCATGGGGTATGGCACTATGCACAATGTAGAGATTTTGTCAGCTTTTCAGTTTTTGCAAGAAAAAAAAACTGCAAGATTCAAGGGTATGTGTATATAATAACGTATGTACAATGCAATGAGTGCAAATGAAAATACTGTGCACTTCTGTGCAATGTCAGCTAAATAGATGCTCAAGTGTCCGTAAAAACTATACATGTATATGTATGTGTTATACACACAGTTTACATAAAGAATATACTGCATTACATTAGTATATTATATACATTAAATATATTATGTAACAGCTTTCTATTTATTCATTGCTCGCTAGTTAAAACATTTTGAAAAGCTAGATGTCCTGAGACTTTGATGGACAGTGTTGCAGATAAACAGTGAAGTATTGAGCTACTGCTAGCACTATTTCCTGTAAAAACCTTATTGATTAACTGTGGCTTTCTCTTTCTGCTATGTGGCCACTGGATACAGACTGTCCTGCTCTGAATGTTTTTAAGCACAGTGGTCAATTCTGCTGTGCAACAGTCATCATTGAACACTTGCTTTTGTGAGTCGGTAAAGTCAATGAAATGCGTATGTGTCTGCGTGTGTGTGACAGAGAGAGAGAGAGATAGTAAAAGGCTGCATCTGATTCGGCTTTTTGAAACACATCAGGAACAATGGATTTGGGTCCAGCATTCAGAATGAGTTCTTCTGAAGTTTGTGTTCACTAGTGCCTCATTCTTTCTTAGCTGCCTGCAGCTGCAGGTTCTGTTTGTGTGTTTTGTCAGCAGTGGGGGGTGAAGATGAGAGAGGGGTCTGTTTACTCCGAAATTGTTATGACAAATGTCATGAATATACATGACTACTTAGCATTTAAATCGCCGGTGGTGTTACTGAATAGGCTCAAACGAGGATATTTGCTACTTTTTGATAATAAAATTGACCAAAAGAACAAAGTCAATAAATCTCACAAAGGCTGCAGAATGTCCAATGTCCACTGAAGTCAGAAAGTGACTTGAAAAGTTCAGAAACCAGTGAAGCTTTTTGTTCAGATTTTGTAGTGGATCACACCGTACAGGCTGTACTGGACATGACATGAATTATAATCATCAGAAATATGTGTGGGTGATGTAGAGGATGCTGTACATACAGAATCACAACCATTCACTCCTCCTTAAACAGATAGTTCAGCTAGAAATTAAACAGAATTTTGAACAATTTCTCCTTTGCTTTAAATGTCAATCAGCCAAGACATGTTTGGTGTCCAGAGTTTGCTTTGTTATTTTCGCACTGGATCTACATACTCTTATCTAACTGTGGACAGAAGTAAAGTCAGGCCCATACGCATTTGGACGTGGACAAGGTTATTGTTGTTTTAGCTGTCTACCACAGCATATTGAAATTGAGTTGAAATGCAGACTTTCAGCCTTAATTTGAGGGTATTTACATCCAAATTGGGGTTTTTAGGGACTTAAAAATAGCCTAAAACTATTACTGTAACAGTACAACATATGGCATTGTAAAATATGATTTTCTTAATTCAGTACGCAGAGGTATTGAAGAGTATATTAAACAGACAGTTGCAAATAAACTGTACTAATTATATTGCAAGAAGCATATTAACAAAGAAACAAGTTAGCCCACCATGAGGGCAGACTATCTCTTCTCTGAAAATGTTGTTTTCACTTTACCTCAAAATCAAGAGTAGGGAGGAAAAGCATATGGGGCTAATATATTAACTACAGGCTACTGTATTATTATAAATAGTTTTACATTTGTAATGTTAAATGCTCAAGTAAACTGAATGCAGACGTGAACATATTAACACAATCCAGATTTTCAGGCTCTCCTTTTTTTTGCTATATTAAAAAATCTATCACATTGCGACACTGCCCTATCATACCAAACAGAATTATGAATTTACTTATCGTTACATCCCTACTAAAAGAATGGCTAGCACCCTGAATTTTGTGTGTAGTTTTGCCCATCATCACACATATATAGGAACGTCACACAGTGCCAGAAACTACATAAGCAAGTTTATTTGAGATTATTAACAGCTGAGTGTGGTTTGAGACAAGTGTGTGATGATTTAGGCATGAAGTTTCCACTAAGCTAAATAAACTGAGCATGTTAGTCTGTTCTTTGTTAGTTGCCAAGGCAAAACAAAAGAGGCAACTGTCATATACTAAACATGTCTTGGTTGATCAACAACATTAAGGGAGAAAATGTAAAAATGTTTATTTGCCTAAACTATCATGTTAAATAATAAGTCAAACATAAATTTGAGTGAGAAATGTGTTCTTTTTAAACACCATGTAGTGTATATACATCTTACAAGAATACGTAGTGCATGCTGACTGGATTAGTATCAAAGGGTGAAGAGGCAGATTTGTCTCTGCAGGAGAAAAGGCAATACTATTGACCAGCTTGAGCAAGGAATGAAGAGGCCTGAGGATCTAGACGGATGGCTTATTAAGTCAGGATGTCTCAGTGAACCTTAAATGTAGCTACAAGGAGAGAAACTGTGTGTCAGCCTATAGAGTGACAGGCCTGCTGTGTGTGTGTGTGAGAGAGAGAGAGAGAGAGAGAGAGAGAGAGAGAGAGAGAGAGAGAAGGAGAGATGTAACCCCAATCCTTCTGCATGGTATCCAAGGTTGTGGAGGCTGCTTCTCTTGGCTCAGTGCTGTGTTGAGCAGATGGTGTTGTGTAGTTTACTCATCTTATCATGCTCTTTATGTCCAGCTCCTCTTCATACAGCACAGGTTTAATTTCACATGTCGTATATTCCCAGATCTGAAGTAATATCCTGCCTAACACTTGAGGTCCACTATAATTGCAAATCATTTGACCGCACTCAACCCCCACCTTTTTGGTCTTATGTCATGCATAATTATAATACCAGTAATAGGTGTGTACTGATATCATTTTTATAGAACAGTGTCAGTGCAGTGTAGCCTTTTATAGAGATATGTGGTAAAACGTGGACGGCTTAATTTGATAATTGATCCTCACAGAGAGGTGATAAAACAGAAGTGAAAGCTTTACAGTACAGGCATTGACATTATTCCAATCTAGCTGATTCTCCATTGTGCATCTGAAAAATAGTAGTTATCCCTGCTTTCCTTTTGTTCAACTAATTTCTTCCACTGTTAGGCTGCCAATAAAATATACATTTTTTTAAAGGTGAAACTTAATATATGTACCATGTCTTGATATTTTTGTTCTTTTTATGTATGTATGTACAGTACTGTACAAAAGTCAGAAACCACTTTTCATTTATTTAATGACCAGTTGAAAGTTTCAACGTATTATTATTAAAAAAAAACAGAAAGCATATATTTAACAGACAATTACACAGAAGCCTCAAAAACTAAATATGATATCAGCTGTTTCAGTATTGAGTGTTTCCACCCTTTGCTTTCATTGAAGCTTCCATTCTTTTCAGGAGACTTTTTTTCAGAGAAAAAACTGCAGGGATGTTTTTCCACACTCCAAAGTTCAGACTTAGAAATTGGTTGTATTTTCGGCTTCACACGATCCAAGTAAACCCAAACTCATTCGGTGATGTTGGGTGGTCAGTCCACTGTTCTGAGAACACCAGTAGCTTTGTTTGATTTGCAGAAGTTCTTCTTCTTGGTTTATTTAGCTTTTCTCAGTAAGGGCTTCTTAACAACTACACATCCTTTCAGACTCATTGTTGAGTTGTCTTCTCATAGTCGAAGGATGGACAGAAATCTGTCTGTTGGTCAGTTTTGGTGCTCTACCAGGTCTTGCATGGTTGTTAAGAGTCCCATTTTCTCTATATGTTTTAATACTTTTTTTAACTCCAGTTTTGCAAACTCATTTTCCTTCAACTTTCCTCTTTCTTATGCAAGTGGATTATCTTAAATCTCCTAAATATCTCCTGACAAATGTATGTACTTTTGAAAGACTGGAAATTAAATAAATGAAAAGTGCTCTCAGACTGTTGCACAGTACTGTATACTAGCCTGCACACTGACAAAAGCATTCTGCTGCGTTCTGTGTGGGCTATTGTTTGAGGTTCTGAAGCCAAACTGGGCTGCTGCGTAAAAAATAACATACCATCTCAGCAATTAGGTGCAG